CAAGATTAACATCAAAAGTAAAATCTATTTATGAGGATATTTATCTACAAAAGACTTTTCAAACTTAACAGATGTTAGACATAAAAACTGCATTATTTTATTAGATGAAGTTTATGTGAAGACTATGTTGCAGTACCATGGAGGAACAATTTTTGGAAAAGCAGTTAATAATCCAAATGTTCTTGAAAATACTGTTTTAAGTTTTATGGTTATTGCTTTGATTGGTGGATCCAAATTTTTATGTAAAATGCTTCCTGTACGTGACATCGATTCAGATTTTCTTTTTGAACAAACTACTTTACTTTTATCTGCAATAAAAGCAGCAGATGGCCATGTTATTTCCATAGTTTGTGATGGTAACAGGGTAAATCAAGCCTTTTTCAAGAAATTTGAAATAGATAAGGTACCTCGGCAAACAAAAGATAATATATATATATAATTTTTTGCGCCTTATAAAAAACATTTGCAATGATTGGATCACCAAAAAGTCACAGGAACTTGAATTTTTTGTTAATTAAAAAGTTGCCAAATGGTCTTATATTGTAGCATTGCATAAATTAGAATCATATCAAATGATTAAAATGTCTAAACTTACAGATGTTGCTGTGTTTAAAAAACAAATTGAAAGGCAAAAGGTTTCAGCTTGTCTGAAAGTATTTTGCGAAGGAACAGTTTGTGCTTTGAAATATAACCCAGAGTTTAAAAATTTTGATGATACTATTAATTTTCTTTCAATAATAACTGAATTTCGGAGAATTGTTAATTTTTATAGCCTTTATGCAGATGCGTAATCCGAATCAGGCTGCTATTTTATCTTCTGGTGATTTTAATCTTCAAAAGTTGTTAGAATTTGGAAACATGGCTAAGCAAATGTGCTCTTCTCAGATAGTTTGTTTTAAAAGCTTCACTAAAGATTCTTCTAAATGTATCTATCATACTTGTAATGATCCTGTGGAGTTATCAAAGTTCCTATACACAAGTAATAAGTATGATAGTTATCTACAAGTCATAAGTATGATTTGCATGTAATATTTACAACTGATCTTTTAGAAAAGCAGTTTGGAAAACTTAGACAGGGATCAGGAGGTACATATTTTATCACTGTTCGACAAATACTAGAGAAAGTGGGTATCACAAAAACAAAACTACTTTTGCAATTAGAAAAAAATGGTGTTGATCTTGATTTTACTCTATCTGGTCATTCTTGTGAAAGACGTGATTTTTACTTAAATGAAGAAAAATGTTTGATATTTGATAATTTGCCAGAATTAGAAAATATATTATCTATAGATGTCAAAATGACTCTAATTTTCATAGCTGATTATATTGTTTGAAATGACAAAGATTCAGATGACTCATATTTTTATTATGAGAAATTTAGAGGTTTTATTGAGGAAATCAATCGCTATATCTGGTGATTTAGTATGTAAATGGGTAATATATTGCTACACTGTTAAAAATTTCCGTTAAAAAAACGGAAATATGTTCCGTTATTTCAACGGAAAGTATCCGTATGTCCATGTATGGATGTATTCATAAATTTATCCTTAAAAAAAAGCATTATGTACGGAAATTTTCCGTATTTGTAGCTAAATTTTCAAATACGGAAATTTCCGTTGTATTTATAACTGCAATTAGATATAAAATGTTGAACCGCCATTAGTGAAGATTATTAAAAGTTATTTTCGTGTACACGTTTAGCTCCAAAAAGGAATAGATTTATTTAAAAAAGTTGACAATTGCACGTTATTTAATTATTTACCCAAAAAGTTGTAGTGTAATTAAAAGTTGGGTTTAGTTATACATTTATTATTTAAAATATGCTTGTATTTTTAAAATATAATACTACTAAAATTTTTTTTTGTATTTCATTTATAGTTTCTTCCTCTGAAGTTTGCCTGCAAGGTGAAGAAAGTTCACCAAGCATTTTACTAATAAATTTCTCTGTTCTTTTAATTTTAAAATTACACAAGCTTTAATTGGTCCCTGAATTGCTTTGTCCAAGCCTGCTTAGCCATTGCTTAGTCTAACCCTGGCTTGCTTAGTCTAAACAAGATTATGTTAAGTATTCTTAGAAAAAGATTCTTGCTTAATTTTTTCTTGTGCATTCTAAGTTAAATTTTGAAAAATTTTTATTATTATTAGTCAAGTGCTTTGGTCACCAAAGCACTTGACTAATAATAATAAAAATTTCTGGAAGTTTTTCTGTTTCAACAAATTGGTGAAACAGAAAAACTTCCAGAAATGAAAATTTGATGTTTTTTTAGTTTGTAAAGTATTTAGTGATTTAATATATAATATTATAATATAATAAATATAAGTTGCAGTTGTTTTTTTCTTTTTTCTTTTAGTATGCATATCTATATGGTAAATGCTAATAAAGTATATATTTAATTATTAAATTGATTTTTTAGGTTCAATACTTTAAAAGATGGTTTTATAGTACATTTATTTTTATTAAATTTATCATATGTAAACATCATCCCAAAACAACATCTTGTATAAAAGTTGATAAGTTACTAATAGGAAAACCACTTTTTGAACCATCAGTGAGTCATAGCTGAAAAAGCTACGACTCACTGGTGGTTCAAAAATAAAATATTATTATATTACTTAACCAATCGCTTTGTTTACAATTTTTTATAGCAAATTTTATAGCAATCTCTAAAAATTTGTAGTTTCTTTTAAATTGAGAATATATTATTTAAGTCGTAAAAAATGAAATATACTGCGCTTATAAACCTAAATGCAAAAAAACTGACTTAAATTTGAGAAATAATTTTAATTAGTTTTTTATTATTTAAAAAAACTCTAATGGTACAGGTAAGTCGGTTATCAAAATTGACCTCCCTTAATGTATATATATGGTAATATTTGTGTTTATCTTTATGCATAACAATGAAATTATAAATTTTTAGATATTGAATTTGATTATGATGCTTCTTTGCAAATTCTGTAATTTTTCTACTTCTTCCTTGAAGAATTATGTGCAACATAATACTTTACATAGTTGTGCGTTTGACATTCCATGTGGATTTGTAGGATGCAAACGAAATTTCAGAACTTTAGGAGGCTTTGCTACTCATATGTATCGATTCCATGATCACACAAATAATGGAAAATTGTATAGTAAATTTGCAAGCATTGAAAAGAAAGGAGTATGTTCTGTTTTATCCTGCAAAATTGAACTTCCTTTCCACAAATTATTAGTACATTTGAAATCACATGCTAAAAATGGAGTTTCAGTAACCTGTCCATATGATGAATGCGAACAGCAATATAAAGTTAAGTCTTCCTTTACAGCTCATTTATCAAGATATCATATAATGGATAAGCAACTTGCTAGTTGCAATCAAGTAAATACATTATTGGAAATTACATCCACTACAAATAATCATCCATTTATAAATGAAAACACTGATAGAGTAGAATTTCATACTAATGATGTGGTTTATAACATAGCTCTATTTTTATTAAAATTGCAATGCCAGTATCACATTCCTTCAACAACAGTTCAGTATATTGCAGAACAAATTTTTAATCTTAATACAATAAATCAAAATCAAACTGAATTTATATTATCCAACAATTTATCAAGTAGTATCCCTCAAAATGAATTAAATTATGTTATACAGCAAGTGAGAAATAAAGATGCAATTGTAATTAGTTTATCAAAAGAAAAAGGTTTGTTAAGGTCAGCTTATATCAGAAAAGAATACTTTAAAAAAAAATTAGATTTCGTTGGGGCTACAGAAGTTTTTTTAGGAAGAAATGAACATGGGTTGGAGTGTTATTCATATTACGTTCCAATTAAAGAAACTTTACAAAGATTATGTATGAATTCTGATTTTATTTTGTTAATCTCAAAACAGATTCACACTAGAGCACATATATATACAGATTATTTTAATGGTGAAGCATTTTGTAACAATCCATTTTTTCTTAAGTATCCAAATTCTTTACATCTGTTTTTATATCAAGATACTTTTGAGTTAGTCAATCCCCTTGGCTCAGCTAGAAACAAACATCAAATTTCAGCCACATACATGGTTGTTGGAAATTTGCCACCTGAATTAAGAACATCTCTTAATAATATTTTTCTGGTTCAGTTATGTCGTGATAAAGATTTAAAATCATTCTCTCAAGCCACTATTTTTAGTGAATTGCTTAGAGACTTAAAAAATCTGGAAGTTGATGGAGTTCAAATTGGTATTAATCATTGGAGAGCTGGTGTTGTTGCTATTCTGGGTGATAATTTGGGTAGCCATTTTTTAGGTGGATATTCTCTTGGCTTTAGTTCAAAGAAAGGCCATATTTGTAGGTTTTGTCTCTTAAAAGGAAATGATCTGCAAGTTTTACCTTATAAAGCAGAAATTCACTCTGTTGAACATTATAACAATTGTATTTTAACTTTAAACGCAAATCCTCAAGATCGTTTTTGTTTTGGTATTACAAAAGATTCCATATTTAATCAGTTAGAGTCTTATAGCACTTGTGCTCCAGGTTTACCAGCGTGTCTTGCACATGATTTGTTTGAGGGAGTAGTTCAATATGATCTCGCTATGGCAATAAAAAAGCTAGTCAAAGATGGATGCTTCACTTATCAGCATATAAATGGCGCTATAAGATCATTTTCTTTTAAAGGCGATGACAAGGGAGATCGTCCAGCACTATTGACTGCTAAAGGTGACAAATTGAAAGGACATGCAGTCCAAAATTGGGTTTTTTTGCGTTTTCTTCCTTTATTATTAATAGGTCGGATTTTTAATTATGATCACAATGTGTGGCAGCTTATACTTTTGCTACGTGAAGTAACAGAACTTATTTGTGGAGGTAATATTTCTTTATCACAAGTATCTCTTTTGCAGCATTTGATAAATGAGTACCTGGAGCAAAGAAAAGAAATATTTCCAGATGTCCCTCTTCGTCCGAAACATCATTAAATGTACCATTACCCTTTTATAAAATGTGGTCCTCAAATAAGACTATGGACGCTAAGAATGGAAAGTAAACACATGTTTTTTAAAAGATCTGCTAGAAGTGCTCAAAACTTTATAAATATCACTAAGCATTTAGCTGAGTCTCATCAGCTGTTTCAGTCATATGTGTCTAGCGGAAGTTCTTTTTCTAATAATATTGATGGAGGATCTGATGCTTTTTGTTTTGCCGAATCAATGTTTACAGTCGAAATAACAGAAGCAATTGCTAATATTATACTTTCAGAAAAGTTGTGTTCATTTAAGCTAACCTATAAAGGAACCACCTATATTAGAGAGCAATTTGTAATAATTAGTCGAAATGATTCAGTGTTTATTGTTGGAAAAATTGATTTAGCTGTTTTTTCTGAATCAAATCAATCTTTCCTTGTTTTAAAAAAGTATCACTTTGAATGGTTATCTGATTTTGGTATTTTATTGTTGGGAAGTGACCTTCCAAGCAGATCTATTTCTATACAAATTGACGATTTAGCAGATTATTGTCCCTTATGGGGTTATAGAGTTGGTGGTAATGTTTATTTAATTTTAAAACATGCAATATTAGATGCATGACAAACATTCAAAACTAATTTAATTTAACTGTTAAATATATTTTTATTTTATTTTATATATATTTTTATTTTATTATATATATATATATATATATATATATATATATATATATATATATATATATATATATATATATATATATATATATATATATAAATATATATATATATATATATATGTATATATATATATGTATATATATATATGTATATATATATATATATATATATATATGTATATATATATATATATATATATATATATATATATATATATATATATATATATATATATATATATATATATATATATATATATATATATATATATATATATTAGGGTGTCCCAAATAACAACATTTTTGAAAATAATCTGCTCTCACCACTTAAATGTGTTCTATCTAATGCAAAGACACTAGGTTTAAATTTTTTTTGAATAAAAAATATTTTAAGGGGTCCCTCAAGACCCTCGAATATTTAATGGGTCCCTAATTTTTTTGAAAAAAAAGTTTTTCAAAAATATGTCAACCTGGTACTCAAACGAAGCGAAATTATAAAAAAAATTTTCAAAATAATATTCATTTCGAAACAAAATTGTTATTTTTGGTTTTATTACATAAAAAATTGCATTTTTTAAGAAAAAATAAAAAAAATGCATTTCTAATGTTTTTTTATAATAATTTTAATAAATAAGTTAAAAATATTTCGAAATGAATATTATTTTTGAAGTATTTATATAATTTCGCTTCATTTGAGTACCAGGTTGACATAATTTTGAAAAACTTTTTTTTCGAAAATATTAGGGACCCATTAAATATTCGAGGGTCTTGAGGGACCCCTTAAAATATTTTTTAATCAAAAAAAATTTAAACCTAGTGTTTTTGTATTAGATAGAACACATTTAGGGGGTGAGAGCAGATTATTTTCAAAAATGTTGTTTTTTGGGACACCCTAATATATATATGTATATATATATATGTATATGTATATATATATATATATATGTATATATGTATACATATATATATATATATATATATATATATATATATATATATATATATTTATATATATATATATATATATATATATATATATATATATATATATATATATATATATATATATATATATATATATCATTATAATGATGTATGTATATATATGTATGTATATATATATATATATATATATATATATACATATATATATGTATATATATATATATATATATATATATATATATATATATATATATATATATATATATATATATATATATATATATATATATATATATATATATATATATATATATATATACATATACATCTTTATAATGATATAATAATATACATACGTTTTATAGTTTATTGTTTATTAGCTAATAAATATTAATTACAGCAAATTTATAAATATAAAAACTTATAATAAGTATATAAAGTGTAAACTTAAAACACTTATGTGTTTATAATTTTGTTTTTATAATAAGTTTATGATATACGATGTATTTATTGTAATATTTATTATAATATTTATTTGTGGGGCACCCACAAACATTCTTAACATAGATATTGTATTATTTTTTCAATTTAAAAGTTGTAAGTATTTTTTGTCATAATAGTTCAAATAATAATACTTAATTATTGTTTGAATAATAGTTATTAATTATTTTAATTCTTAGAATAATTATGTTTCAATTTATTTTTGTCAAACACAGTAAGCATTTTAATGATTTTTGTCAAAAATAAAAAAATTTATATTTTGTTTTATAAGCAAAAAATCTCATAAGAAGTATTTGTTTGCAAATTTTTTTGGAAGTATTTGTTTGGAATTTTAAAAATGTATTGTTGATATTTTTTTGGTTGATGCATTAAAAAACATTATTTTTTATTTTCAGTTAATTGTTTTACAGATTAAAATTCTCTACTAAATTTATTAAATGGTAGTAGTCATAATGTTTTTATATGAGATTTAAGTTAGTATGTAAATAATTAATTATTGATTATTTTGAAAACATTAGTAAATATTATAATTTTAATAATTAGTATTAAATTATATCGATCAAATAATCTTATAATGCTGTGGCATAATTTAATAATTCATTTTTTCATATGCTTTATAGTTATTATGTACGTTTCATAAGACGCTTGAAGCATATACAATGTTCATATTATAATTCAAAAGTATTATAAATGATAAAAGACATGATTATTACATTATATATTATTAAAATTTTGTCATGAATTTTTTACATTTTAATTGTTTTCAGAAAGTATGGATATCCTTATAAGAGAAAAACTATTCAATGTTTTCCCAACAATGGAAAGTGGTGAAGCTGATAAGATTATGAATGGTTTATTACTTTTGGGGCTTGAAACAGAAAGTGATTTCAATTATCTTAAAGAGGAAGACCTAACAACATTACTGCCTCTGATAAAGGCTAGGCGTTTTTTATCTGCATGTCAACCTGTTATTGTTTCTGAAATGTCGTCAGTTACCCCATCTTGTTTATTTCCATCAGTTACCCCGCTTTCTCCAGAACCTTCCACTTCACTTTCATCAGGATCTTCAAATTGGGCGCAATTATTTATTGTCAATTGGGAAAATTTTCCAACTGAGTTTTTAAGTGACATCAACAGCAAGCGAAAGCCCTCTGAGTCACATATACGACAAATGGTTAGCTTATTAATGAGAGATGTTTTGCGCCATGATCACAAGCCTAATCGAAACAGTTTACGAATTATTGCTCAAAAAGTTGTTTCAAGGTTGTTTATTCTTTTTTACACTTTAAATATGCTTCTTTACCCATTTAACCATTTACCCCTTCCTTATCCATTAAATTATGGATAAGGGTAGATAGAGCTCGTAAACCTTTGATGGTTTGAGTGGTAGTAACTAATAATAATGACTAATAATAAAAATACTGATGCCTCAAGGGGAACTTCTGGTTATAAAAAACTGCTTTAACTCTTCCATAAAGTCATATATTTTAAAAATGGCATTATGCAGACCCATACAATCCACACAAGTGTGAAATTCTGGACATTAAGACTTTAAAAAAATAATTTAACTTTTTAACATTAATTGGCAGATTTTTGTTAAGTTAAAGAAAAAAAGTTTATACATAGTTTTAATAAAAATCAAATTTAATATAAAGTTTGCATAAGTTGTTGGTTTTTATAAAATCTTGAAAACAATTTTCTTACTTAATATGAACTTCCATGTTATAGATATCCTGATGCATTTGTTGATGAAATAAATGGCAAGATAATTAGCAACGGAGTTGAAACATTAATGTATAGGATGGAGTCAAGAAAGGAAAACGCAAATCGGAAAGCCCCTTTGTCAGGAAATTGTAAGAGGATGAAACTAAATGTACATAGTATACACCCACATGGATGGGACCCAAATATTTCCAGTGTATCTATAGACTTACTAAATGCAAAGGGAAAAATCTTTAAATTCAATATAATTTTAAATTTTCTTTGAATTGATTTTAATAAAAATTCATTATTATTTATTATTATTTTTGAATACTTTAGGAGCAGCTACAGCAATTATTTAGAAATTTGCCTTGGCCAAAAAAAGATGTTGATAAGCTAATGGCAGACACATTTTCTTTGCAACGCCATACAATTAATGCAATAGTTCCGTTTTGTGAAGTTTTGCTTCAATGGCCATTTTTATCACAATTGGAGTATGTTATGGATCATTTTTCCAATCTGATGAGTTTTTCATTGATGGACAATTTAAGAAACGCAGTGGCAAGCAAGTCTAATCTTATTTTTCTATACTTTGAAACTATGACCAAAAAAAATGTTGTGAAGGAAATTTTACTTGAAGCAAAAAGTAAAGGTATTGAATATGGAGGCGTTCAGCGAGCGTTATGTTGGGCATGGCTGCCTCTAATTATAGCATATTTTGGAGATAAAACTGAACATTTGATATTATCAGTTAATGTAAGTTTTTATTAAAAAAGTGTTTGTTCACAATAATTATGAAAATTCTTAATAATTATGAAAACTCTTTTTTTTTTGTCAGATTTTAGCCACTATATCAGAGATGGAAGATCTTTGTCCAACTTCTCATCCAATGATTTTTGTAAAAGGTAATTTTCAAATTATAATAATTTACATTATAATCAGGGCACATGAAATTTCTTTGGCATATATATTAATATTATAAATAAGAAATTTTTATTTTTTTGTTGTTGACAGGGACTTGGTTTGAATCAGAATATTTTTATGTGTTGATTGAAAAAAAACTTTCTTATACATTCACTGATGCTCTATCGGCTGTTAGTGTATTATTTGCAATTCATTATGTTATGAATATGCAATATGATCCAAACGTTTTTGCAACATTGGAGTTTATTCAAAGGTAAAAAAGTTGTTTTAAAACAATTAGCAAGTTTTTAAAACAATTAATGCAAGTTAATTCGCCAGATTTATTTTAGATTAAAAGTACCCGAGTATTTATTGCTCATTTTCATTTATGTTCATGATCAATATAAAAGCTTGTGTATTATATTTTTTTTGTTAGGTATATGGTGGACTATAATCCTGAAAATGTAAAAAATAACGCTAAAGGGAAAAAACCAGGAACAGTTGTTTGCCCACGAGTTCTAACTCTAATTCGAGAACTAAATAGTTTAAATTCTGTTTAATCGAAAAATGTTTTTTAACTGAGTTTTTTAAATCTTTTTTTATTGAGAATATTGTTATATAATAATATATAGTTAAGTTGTAATTTATATATATTTATATAAAACAGTTTTCTATGTTTGAAATTTAACTCAAGTGCACAAAAAAGCGCTGGCCGGGCATCGATTATTTGTCTGGCGTGCGCAATTTAAATAAATATTTGTTTTTTGTACTTTTTTAATTGGAATTTGATGAAGAAAAAATCTTTGTTGCAATTTAAAAACACGCTTGAAAATTATTGGCAAGCACTAAAAAAAGCGTTGACCGAAGTATTGCGCTCTAGCAGCTCTCCTGCGGCCGTGCAGGAGAGCTGCTAGAGCGCAAAATTGCTCGCAAGACAGAATATATATATAAAGACTGATATATATATATATATATATATATATATATATATATATATATATATATATATATATATATATATATATATATATATATATATATATATATATATATATATATATATATATATATATATATATATATATATATATATATATGATATATATGATATATGTATATATACATATATATTTATATAAAAAAACATAGTTTATACACACACTTATGTTATATGTGTGTGTGTGTATAAACTATGTTTTTTTATATAAATAAAATTCGGGAATGTCTTACTTGTTATCTCGAAATTGCATTTTAATTTTCTTTCTTATTTAATATTTTAGTTTTTTAGATATGTTATCAGAAATACTTAAGTAAATTGCACAATTATTTATATATTAGTATTTATAGTTAAATATGTAATTAAGCAAAATGTTAAAAATATGAAATATTTTTAACAATTTCTTAAAATATTTTTAAATCTGCTACATAAAATAAATAAATGTTTTCTAGATCTGATAGCAATATATGTGGGATCACACTCTCTATTTTCTGAAACAATTCGATTAAATATTTCAATTTTAAAGGTGTCATTTGCTTGTCAATGTTTTTTATTATATAGACTTTAGAAGCCTATTCATCAAGTACCAGTGGTAAAGCTACATGTATCATTTGACTAGTCTATTTTCCATAAGTTAGGCAGAGGTGGTTTTTTTGTTTTTTTATTTTGTATTTAATAATGCATTATCAACATCATGTAGCAATGATTGAGTTATATACTTGCAAAATATTTGTAAATAACCAATCAAGTAATTTTATATTATAAACTTTTTATATGTTGTGGTCTTAAGTGGTACAACTTCTTTTTTAAATCAATATAAATTACAATTTGAAGATGTTCTTTTCCTTCTTTACTTTTGTAGTTTGTAGTCTTCAATGGCATTGACATCTGGTAGAAAAGCTAAGGTTGTATCTTTTCAAAATGATTATAAATGACTTATTATCAGAAGATATTTTTTTAAATTATTGTTCATCTTATTATGTAATCTTTAATAGTATCAGCTTTTAGTACAGTGGTAAAGTTACTTGTCTCTCAATACGAGTTTATATTCCATAAATCTGTAAGGTGTCATTTTTTTTTTTTTTTTAATGTGAGTTATGCTATTTTTGGAAAAGTAATATATTTTTTTTGTATAAAATGCTTATCTATTTTAGTTTTTTAGTCTTCAATGGCGATGATAGCAATTGTAAGGTTGTATCTTTTCAAAATGATTATAAATGACCTGTGTCATTATAAATGACCTGTACTTAAAGTATTAAAATATATTTTTTTAAATTTTTGTATATTTTAATTTTTTAAATATTTAGTGGAAACAGCATTTAGTACCAATGGTAAAGTTACATGTATGTTTTCAATACGAGTTTATATTTCTTAAATTTTTAAGGTGTCATTCTTTTTGTTTTATATTCTGTAGTGGCATTGACACTAAGTAGCTACGGTAATGTGATATCTTTTCAAAATAATTTTAAATGAATAAATGAGGTGTTTAGTCAATATTTTACCTTTTTTTTGGTGGCGACAAAAATAAAGTTACATGTATCAATACCAGTTTATATTTCATAAATTTTAAAGGTGCCATTTGTTTATCTTTTTTATTTTATATTCTTTAGCAGCATTGACAAGACACTTAGTAGCAATGGTAATGTTATATCTTTTCAAAATAATTTTAAAGTTAATATATTATACCCTTTTTTTGTGTGTATTTTAGTGGCGACATTATCCATTACCAATGATATTGTTACATATCTTTTTTGTCTTTCAAAATGATATTAAATGATAGTTTTTAGATGTCTTTTATATATATATATATATATATATATATATATATATATATATATATATATATATATATATATATATATATATATATATATATATATATATATATATATATATATATATTACTTATATATAAAAGATTCAGGAACTCTTTTTTCCAGATAATCCCGGAATTTCGGATATTTTTTCTGACCTTTTAGTTTTTCCCGATATTTAAGAAGTTTTTCTTACATACAAGTTTAAGTATATATTTGTGTAATTTATTTGATCTTTAGGCTTTTTTAGTCATCGCTCATACAAAAAATTAGGAACGGCTTCCAAAATTTTTTAGTGGTGACAACTTTAGATACAGTTTTATTAGGTAATGTATCTTTTCAATACAAATATATATTCCATAAAATTTAAATGTGTCATTTACCTGAGCGGGATCAATGGTAAGATTATCTTTTTTCAAAATGAATAAAATAGAGAATCAAATGATTGCATGTTATTCTTTTCTTTACTTTTTTACTTTATTAGACCTCAGGAGTTCATTCAAAGGTAAAACATTTTTCAAAGCAGTCGAAATTTATATTATAAGCATATGAACTGTTTGAAAAATTTGAAAAAAATAAACTGATGCAAAAAGTGAAATAAGACACAATAAATGCTTATCTTTCTTAAGTATTCCACAGATTTTAATTTATAATCTATGTAATGGTTATGTGATTTATTTTGTGTTTTAGGTATATGTTTTTTGACTATAATCTAAGAAATTATAAAGTAATTATAATAAAGTAAGAAAAAAGAGGGAGCAGAGAGTCTTGGCTCTCTACGACCCTATATATATATATATATATATATATATATATATATATATATATATATATATATATATATATATATATATATATATATATATATATATATATATATATATATATATATATATATATATATATATATATATATATATATATATATATATATATATAAATTTTTATTTAACTTTTTTATGTAATATTTAATGCAATAATTGAAGTCAAAAGTCATTAATAATTTGTAAATATATTTGTCATTAATTTTTTCTTGTAGATTTTTTTTATCGTTTAAGAAATGCATTTTTAGAATAAGAGTTCATTGTAAAGTAAGTTTTGGGTTTTCTACAGAAATTTCCGGCAGCAGATTTTCCAGAAATTTTCCGTTATTTTACAGAAAAATCAGTCACATGTTAATGGAAATATCCGTTTAAATACGGAAATATCTGTTATTACGATGATAGATATTTTCCGTAATTTATACGGAAATTTCCTTCAACACTTGATTTTTCCGTAAAATAACGGAAACTTTCTGGAAAATCTGCTGCCGGAAATTTCCGTAAAAAACGGGATATTTTTTTAACAGTGTACATTATGTTTCATAAAGTAGCTGATAATATATGCATATCTTTTTTGTGCAATCTAATTTATTAATAAATAATTATTGAAAATTGTTTAAAGTACTTTAAACATTTATTAACTATACTTTAGTAACTTTATTTTTAATAGTAAAATATAGCATTATTTTAAACTAGCTGAGATCGGAACCGTAGAAATACGGGTCTTTGTAATTCCAAATTAAATTGAACTTTTTAATACTTTTTCCTTATACATCCTAGCTTTTCGAATCCGTAAAATACGGGTCTTAACCGAACCTACTATTTCTATACATACCTATTCCGGACCGATTAATACTATACCTATTCCTTATTTACTTCAATACTTTTAAGTAAAATAATTTTGAACTTAAATCTTTTTGATGATGACACTTAAGTTTTTTATACTCACTCTAACATTAAGACAATCTTTACCACTATGAACAGTGAACTTGATAACCTTAATGAATGGTTTAAAGCCAACAAACTCTCACTGAATCCTACTAAAAGCAAATATACTCTCTTTTCTAAATCGTCTAAATCTGACACGTTGCCTTTAAAACTCCCGGATATTTTAATAGAAAAAACCAAATTGCAACGGACATACTGTGTTAAATTCATAGGCGTTTTAATCGATGAGCAAATATATCGGAAAGAGCATATTAATCTAATAGAAAATAAAATTTCAAAAACTATTGGAATCATGTATAAAACTAGATATATGTTGGATAAAAACTGTTTAAAATTTATTTACTTTTCATTTATTCATAGCTATATTAGTTATTGTAACATTGCTTAGGCAAGCACTTATCCGTCAAGTCTAACTTGTATCTTAAAAAAGCAAAAACAAGCAAGCCGCCTTATATTAAATGCTAATAAATACACCAGTGCCAATCCACTTTTTCGTAAGCTTGGAGTGCTGAATGCTTACCTATTAAATATTTATAATATTCTTTTATTCATGTTTAGATTAAAATATCATATGCTACTTAATATTTTTGAAGATCTTTTCTTTATTATAGATCATAAATATCAAACAAAGCATTCATTGCCTAATTATCAGGTACCAAAAACTTTGTATATATATGTATTTGTGTGTAGGTGTGTATATGTATTTATATATATATATATATATATATATATATATATATATATATATATATATATATATATATATATATATATATATATATATATATATATATATATATGTATTATATAATTAATGTTCTTATATGATGGATAATTTTTTCTTTGATTGATATTGATATAACGGAGCTGGATAATAATACTTTTGTCTTCTGCCTGCCATTTTATATCTTGTATGTCATAACTCAAAATGAATATATTGTAAATAATTTATTATAACGATGACAAAAATCTAAAAAAAAAGTAAAGATAGTGTGATAATATTGCGCCCTATTAAATCTTTGCGCCCGGGGCAATTTCCCCTTTGGCCCCCATATCGCTGCGCTACTGGATTGAACCAATGTAATTTTGCTAACTAATCACTTTGTCGTTAAGATTTTCAATAATGAAAATACGATAAAAGTAACATTGGATCAACGTTGTATTTCAAACATATTTCTCCGCGCAGCGGCCTTGTTCGTCATGATTCGTGTCGGAGATCTAGAGTTGAGAGAGGCTTTTAACCAAAATTAAGTAGCCTTCTCGTCTGTAAGGAGGTTTGGGGTATTTCTCCTCTTCTCCCTTCCTCCCTGACACCTGCTATGTCTGAATGCCCTGGGCCTCTCATATTTAACGTAAGTGTGCTAGCTGTGATATTTCTATATCTGAATGGCTGGGAAATTTGTATATCTGCATTTACTCCATGCAAACGTAACGTTGATCCACTGTATAAAAGCCGACATTGCTCTTATGTATATGGATCAACATTGATTCAATATATATAATCCAACGTTAATCCACACACATTGGATTAACGTTGCTTCAGTAACATTGTATCAACGTTAGTACTTACCCATTGGATCAATAATGGGTTATACACATTTGGTCAGCGTTGATATATATACATTGTATCGACGTTGGTTAGGTCGGAAAAACAACCAACTTTTGCGATGTTTTTCTATACGTAATTAATCATTAGACCAATGTAATTCGCTAACCATTTTTAATCACGTTGTTATTAATGTTTTAATTAACATGAATAGGATATAACTATATTAAATCAAAGTTATTTGTATTGGAGAAAACAGCCGACTTTGTGCGAATAGCCGAATGTGCGCTAGTTGGAAAGGCAAGCAAAAAGAATTTCTCAGTAATTAAATAGAAACCTTATTCTAGGCAAGTTTAGAAAAACAAAATTTTTATAAAAAAACAAGTGGAGACCTACCCAACCCCAAACAATCAGTCGTTGCATGTTTTAAAATCTGTTGTTTTAAATGTTGTTTTAAAATTTTTTAAATGTTCCAAAAAATTACAAAATGAAATCATTAAACTCTTCCAACTCTTTGCTCTTTAAATCTTTTTTCTAGTTGTTTTCAACTTAATAGTGGTTGCTTGCAGCCTTGTTGGGAGTGAAACAGAATTATTAGAACATAACATTTCATTTTATATTAGGAAACCAGTTTCCATGACTGGAAAAAAAATTGTTTGTAGAAAAAATCGAATTTATTTTCAATAAAATACAATTATTAGTTCAAATCATGGTCAAAGGTTGTCATGGGTAAAAGTTAGGTTGTCATGGTTAAAGGTATAGTAAGGCTGTCTGTTTGTATTAATCTTAAATGTACCATATAAAAAAACATATAAAGTACCATATAAAAAAACAAAACTATCACGTTTCTCCATCTCGTATCGCGGCCCTTACCTCTACAACAAACTAATAGCTAAAAATACTACAATTACAAAACTACTTAACCATAATTCTCTGAAAACACTTTTAAAAAAACTTGTTCTAAACTTAAACAATTTTACAAACGTATATTAAAACAAATAACTAAAAACCCCTAAAAAATCCACTTTAAAGCAAAGTAAATGTTAGATTTTATTTATATTTTGTACATGTCAATATACTAAGTATAACAAACCATGTAACTATATATTTATGTGTATCAAATACAGCTCTTTTTTCTTTGTTTTTGATTATCTAGTAGCTTTTTATGTGTGACTCTTATGCCACCATGAGACTTTGACAAACTGAAATTTCCTAATAAATTAAGTATACAAAATATCGCAACTAAAAGCGGTTTCTTGATGACAAGACCAAAATGGTCTTCTGCAAGTTTCCCGCGTCTTTTAACAGTGTTACTTTTTTATATATATTATTATTTGTATTAAAAAAAGTTTTCTTATCATATGTACGGTATTTTTTTTTATACAATGTAAACGAACTAGTTTATATTTATGATCACGTATTTGTAAAGCTTTGATAAAAGACAAAAAAAAAAAAAAAAATGTTTTCATAATTAAGTTATCTTTAAATATGTATTAATCAAATAGTATTTTCATAGTTAAATTATCTTAAAATATGTTTCATAGTTAAAACCATTGGTCAAAAATATTCTTTAGGTGCACTAATTCTTGCATTTTTCTTCAATAAAGTTTGTATAAATATGTAATACAGTATCGTCCACAATTATTTTCGTCGCGTCCACAATTATTTTCGTCGCGTCCACAATTATTTTCGTTTGTCCATAATTATTTTTAAATCAAAACACTTTATTTTTAAAAATTTTTGAAATCAAGAAAAAAATCCAAGTATAATTTAATCAAATAAATTCATTACGTTGAATTCCTTTTAACATCCACTCACGCATGTGAGAATAATAATTCTCAAAAGAATATTCGGTAAAACCTGATAAAATCTCAGTAATAATTCTAATCATTTCTTGTGAATTGTTAGGCCGCGGTTGTATTCCTTTAAATAAATTTTTAACCACGCCAAAAAACACCTCGATAGTATTAAGTTGAGGACTGTAAGGTGGTAAAAACTGGATAGTACAATTACTTTTACGAAATGCCGATTCTACTATTGATGAATGGTGGAATCGCGCATTACCCATTACTACAACATATCTGCGATCACTTAAAACTGGTCTTAAATCTTGTTCTATCCAGTCGTGCATGCTAGTGGTATTAAAGGCTCTAATCTTTAGTTTAAATCCAATACACCCTGTAACTGAAATAGCGCATATTAGACTAACATTTCTTCCTCTCTGTGTGGGCACTGTAACAAACGGGGTGCTTACTAATAATGTATATCCATAATGTCGTGAATCATGCAGATTGAACCCGGTTTCATCAATATAGACCAAATCTGAATTTCGCAGAAAAGAAACATGATTGCCAAACATAAACCTCGTTGCTATTACTTGAGCTGAATTTCTTGCAACAACAATCGATTTAAGCCTTTTACGGGTATATCCCATTTGTTTTAATTCTCTTTTGATTGTAGTTGTCGAGCATTTACGTTCTTCTGGCATTAACTCTGCAATGTCAATAGTAGTTAATGCATTATTTGCATTAATTAATAACTCGATTTCTCTTTTTCTTTCAATATTATTTCGTGCAACTCTGCCACGTTTTTTTGGTATTATATTTTGGTCTGCTTCAAGCTTTCGTATCCAGCTTTGTATTGTCCTAATTGAAAGACCGGTTGCATTTGCAATAGATCGACTTGATTCGTTGCCAATCAACATTCTTTTTATTGAAGCAATATTTTCTTCCGTTGCTGTTTTGTTTTTTGTTTGCTCAGCCATTTCGATATTTGGATTATTGAGTTGTTGTTAGTCATTATGGCTTAAAGTGTTTTGATTTAAAAATAATTATGGACGAACAAAAATAATTGTGGACGCGACGAAAATAATTGTGGACGCGACGAAAATAATTGTGGACGATACTGTAATATTGTACGCTATAAATAAATAGCTTATTTATTGCTTAAAAATAAGTAGTTTATTATTTCTTTGTTTATATTCATTTTATATGCTAGAAGTTAATAAAGAGTAAATATATTTATACCAATCCCTGCTAAATCTTATAAGTTTAGCAGGGCCAGAGCCAAATGCGTATTTAAGTTAAGCAGCCGTGGCGCAGTGGTTAGAGTTCTGGCTCAGAACTCAAAGGTCCGAGGTTCAACACCACCTCCAGCCCAGCAAGCGACATTAGTATAGATGGAGGGGTAAACATCTTGTTAAATGTTCTGTCGCGGTACTCTGTGATAAGACCGTAAGGACTTATGAGAGCACCAAAAATAACTACAAAAAAATAAAAAATAAAATAAAATAAAACAAAAGTTAGGACAATGGAGGACTAAGTTTTTTTCTATACTAACTAAAAATAATTAATAGTCGATTACCTACAGCTTTGTTCCTGTTACTCATTCGCCTTTCGCGTAAATAAATAAAAATAAATGTATCAAATTGAATTGAAATAACTTTTTATTTAACATTATATATATATATATACATATATATATATATATATATATATACATATATATATATATATATATATATATATATATATATATATATATATATATATATATATATATATATATATATATATATATATATATATATATATATATATATATATATATATATATATATATATATATATATATATATATATATATATATATATATATATATATATATATATATATATATATATATATATATATATATATATATATATATATGTATGTGTATATATACAAAATATATACTAACATTAGGTTGATAGTCAAATTATTAAATAACAAAGTCTATATTTCTCTTTTTCATTTTAGAAAATTTGTCGATTATATCATCAATATATAATAATATGCCTGTTATCATGCAGCAATGCCAAACGCATCAATCAATTTTGGCTAATTCTCGATCTTAACCATATTTTCAATCTACAAAAATATGTTTTAGGCCTATTTATATTTCATAGTTTCAGTAACTTTATTTGAGTTTGATACAGTTTGTCAGTAGTAAATTACATACATTCGTTGATGTACTTACAATAGTTGGTTGCCTATTCTGATCTTTAATTGCATGCAGACACTGAGGTAGATCTAAAATATTTGATAGTTTTTCGATATCGTCATTTGATTTACTCGAAATTGGGGAAATATCATTAGTAATTTCATTTTTCGGGCAATTGTTTGGCAATTTTGAAAATAAAGTTTGTTTAGCATTGCGTTTACTCATATTAACATTAATAGTTAAGCTTTTATTAAAATTAAATACATATAAACTCAAAACAAAATGCAAAATACGATAAAGTTTTGTAATAAATCATAATGCAATTTATATTTAGTCATTACCACTACCTACTTTAAATCATGGCTGAATACTAAGTATAAGTTAATTGGTTACACTACAGATTATATGATACTAGCTCTGTTCACTCTGTTTCGGGATGTAAACAAAAGCCACAGTACTACGGTTCTGTAGTAATACGGACTATACTGTATTATACGGTATAGAAGATTATCCTCTATACTGTGCGAAAACTATGAATATTATCACCACAACAAAATCAGTGTAACTGCAGTGCAGACATAAAGTTCTTGTTAAGTATGATATCATTACAATTTGTGATCTATATCAAACAGAAAATTTTTCAAAATAAATTATTAAATAATGTTATTTAGAAAATACATTCGAGCAATGGGGGAGGGGAGGAGGAAAAAATTCTTAACGTTTAAGACCAAAACCTCAGTAAAACTGTTGCTTTTGAATTAATTGTTAACTCAATTGAGTTACAATTGAGAATACTTTGATCAAAGTATCAATGGACAACTTTATAAAAACACCATACATAAATAAGTGTAAAGATCACACACTTTATGCGATGTTACACATTTATTTTTACACTTGTTTAATAGGCTATTGTAAACAATAATTAAAATATGAACTAGTATACAATTTACATATTCCATTATCTAAACATGTGAGTTATTAAATACAAAAATAAAGTTGTATACAATAATGTCAATAGTCAATCATAATTTTCAAATTAATAAAAAATTAATAATAATTAATAATTTATTGTTTACTACTTTAACTTTGTAGCAATATTCCAAGTGTTAGTTTGTTGTTTGTAATTAGATTTTTTTTTTTCTATTTTCATTGTTAATTTTCTTTTTAAGTTTTCATTTTGCCATTTATGATGGTAGAGTTGAAAAAAGTAAACAAGAAATAACAAGGCAGAATTTACACTATTTTTTATTGAAAACAAGATAGAACTGATATTGAACTGTTAAAAGATAAAAAACTCCAGCTAGTTGCTGTTGTTATATCAGTGAAGTTTGAATTTTCTTAATTGAAATATGAAACTAATAAAAAAAAATGCTCACAGTATAGCAAGTTTTGTAACCTGCAATATAACTGCCACAAGTTTTATGGCTTGCAAATAGGTTTTGCAAGCCAAGTTAAATTGTAATTAAAATTTTTTTAATTGGTTCCGACAGAGGAGGGGGGATGGCTTGCTCCTCTTTTTATAAAGTCAAATTATACACCTCTAGGTGTATAAATTGCCTTTATGAAAGGGAGTGCATAAAGGCAATTTATACATACTATACTACACTTTTTTATTTCAAAAGGTTTTCGTGTATTTTTTTTTAGGTTGGAGTGGGTAATCTGTCTTTTTACATGACAAAATGGTTACTCTGATGCATTTTGTAATGTGTTAAAATATTTTTCTATACTAATTTCTCTCTGTTTTTTAAAAAAGCATTTTGACATTTTTTTGTGAAATTTTCATAAAATTTTTTTTTTCAGGTTCATAGCAGAAGGGAGGGGGGCAGATACGCTCTCTTCCATCAAAGCAATTTATGCATCACATATGTTACTCTTTGTTATAGTGTTGAAATATTTTTTTTGTTTTTTATAATAGATTTAATCATTTTAGTAAAGATTGTAATAATTAAAAGAATGAAATTTTAATAAGGTGTGTTAAACCCAACACCCAACTTTAAGATAGACCTGTATTATTTGCTAGTGATGTGGAATAATTAAATAATAACTTGTTGTATATAAATATTACTAATTATTAAAAAAAAATACTCTATTTTGAAAAAAAAGTGTATTTTTGTGAGGTGTAGGTGGCGGATTAGCATTAGATCCCCTCTGGATCCCTCCATGCGCCCTTTACCCAGAAACTAGTTTGAAATTATAGCCCATTTTTACATCTATCTTTTGATACTAAGTTATAGATATTTAAATAAGAATTGGCAAAGTTATAATTTATGTAGAAAAAATTTTTTCTTTTCCACAGTTTTATCAAGAAATCCATATATTGAAAAATTTTTACTAAAAACGTTATATTTTTTTATAAAATTGTCTGATTTTCATAATTTTTTCAACTTTAAAATACTGTATTTGAGGGCTTTCCAATGATATACAGCATTCTAGTATTTAAAAAAGTCAGTCCATGTACCTATTAATATAAATTTTATTTCTCAAACATACTACAAACACTTTAATATGATATATTATATATACTTATAATTTATGAACCAATTATTTTTTATGAATATCATACATACACATATATGACATATATGTGTGTGTTTTCTTTTAAACAATTGCAAGTTTCCAAATACATGCAAAGTAAAGTAAGTAAAGAAAACTATACTTTTCAATTAGTAAATTTAGTATTATTAATTATTTTTAATTTTTTACATTTTTTATCCTTATTTTTATAACATGATCAATTAAAATGCACTTGAACTTTGTTCTGGTGCATTTTAATTGATCTAAGTATAGAAATTTAATTTATTAACCTGGGTAAATAAATTTCCAATTGAGAGAATTGGAGCATTTTTAGAGAAATATCAATGTTTCCCTAATGTGCTATTGGTAAGATTTTTTTTATTATTTGTGATTTCATATATTTATTGGATAAAATGAAATTGTATTTGAAAATCACAAATCCTTTTTTAAATGAGAAGGTATTTTCAAAACTCTTATGTCCTCTAATGGGTTATTCTATAAATTTTCTCTGCTTTTTAAAGTTGTATGCTTTTTTTATTATTATTATTTAATTCAGATTGTTGGCGACATGGCACATGTATTAAAGTGTCACAGTTCTGTCACAGTTGACTCAGCAAGAATGAAGACATTGATACACTTTTGCATAATGGAATACACAAGTTGGCAGTTCCTCGTCCACTGCCAACCAAATACAGGTAGGTATGCTTGCATAAACAAGCCTCAAAATTAGTAAAACTAAAATGAGTAATAAATTGTCGACTTTAAACTGTTATATGTTGGCATCAGATTACAATCGGCAAACATAAAACCATTTTTACAAAGGTTTTACTATAAAAGATAAAAACGAGGTCAGCACAAAATTGCCAACCCCAGGCATTTTTATGTTTTTGCTTGGTTAGTTTAAGAGTTAGGTAAAATAATGTATTGAAATCATTTAATAATTAAATAAGGAATGTGCTTTTAGATAGTAAAGTTAAACACTTAATAAAGTACTTGCTGCAATATAATAATATATATATTATATATATATATATATATATATATATATATATATATATATATATATATATATATATATATATATATATATATATATATATATACATATAATATACATCTTAAGATATGAAAAGATATTATTGTTAAATTTTGAGTTTGTAAAATTTATTTTCAGGTATAAAAAATCCTTATCTGTACGTAACAGA